GTTGTTGATAGATTTTGACTTATTGCTGGTGTCGCAGAGGTCACAGGGGTCCCATTCCTGATGCCCATTCATCATCATCTCCTGACAGGGACTGACAAAATACATCATCACAGCTTCCGCCTACAAGGCCTTTTAAGGCAGGTCAAAAGTCTAGGTCAAAGTTCAACCCCGAATCATGATGTTTATTTTGCCTTAACTTACTGAAAAGCAAATCTTCTACTGGTCTGATATCATACAGGTTCAAAAATATGGTGAATATTTCCATATTTTTTGACAAGTACAATGAACATGAATGGAACTACATGGAAGTAAAATTTTTCCTCTTAAGTTTAGTACCGGCAACCTTTTCCAGTAGTAATCAAGTCAGGTTGAGCATCAGGAGCCAGGATTCAAACTCACAACCTTCGGGGCCAGAAGCAGGATTGCTAACCGCTTCTTCATGTTTTAAATGATACCCTCAGTGTCATTAAGGCCTGACATAATATTATATCAGCAGCATAACCTTCAAAGAAACTTCAATGTAATTATACAAATTATACAAACCATAAATGTTAAAATGTTACTTCTCAAATTTATGGATACTGTGGGCAGAAATTTCTGTAACTTGCCCTCAATGCTGCATAAAGTTCAGTAACTCCTGCCTGCCAGTTCCCTCCAATATTATCTATAAACGACATTTCTCAACAGCTGACCTTCAATTTGAATCATTTGGTTCTGAAGATACTGCAGCTTTCTCTAACTCCTCCTCTGTGGTATAAGTTCAGTGACCGGGCCCCTGACAGTTTTGAGCCATATATGTAAAGGGCGTTAACCCCGAAAAGCAGTATAGCCACCCCTAGGGTTCAGTTTACAGGCTGGGAGGTAAATTATGATGTCAGGCTTGACAGGGTTTCCTCTCTTACCTCCATCATGAACCCCCAGGCTGGGGTCCCCCTGGGAAACGGCAGTTGACCACCATCAAGGTCATCTGTCAACATCCAACAAGGTCGTCCCAATGGTGAACATTCCTTCAAAGTCTATGTGTAATTGTGCTAGGATCTTCTTTAAAACAAGCAGTAACATACTACCCTCAGGTTACAGAGAGGAAGCTGTGGTAGTAATGTATAGGCAATGTCAGTCATGGCTAGGATTAACAGGTGGTTCAGAATGAGTGAACTATTACACTTGGTGGCCATTATGGCCTTGGCCTAATAATGACATTCTTGTGTCTAGTACCTAAAGAAAGCACTTACAAGTTGTTATCTGTCTGTTTAAGTGAAGGGTCTGATGTGGGATCCCATTGGCATTGTTTTGATGTGCTACAATTACTGATACTTCTCCATAATATTGTATGGCAGCTTGTATTGGCAGAACCTGTGAATACTCCTTTTTGAAAAGTCTTGCTCAAGTCTTTATCTTTTGGTCGTGGCATATTTTTGCTTCTTGTTCAATATTTAATCAACACTGTTTTGATTTTTACATCTCTTTACAATATACAATGTATATGATTTATGATAAGGGATGAAAGAAAATGTATTAACTCCAACACCTTTGTGTTGGATAATAGCTGAACTCTCTCAGAACGATGAAGGCTGAACAGCAATCACATGTCTCACAGCATCATCTTCCCATAATCTGCTATAACAGTCGCAAACTTTCCCAGGGTCACCCCTTCGAACACCTCCTAACGCTGATGAATGAGGCAGAGTCATCCCGCCACCAGCGAAATCCTCTTCAATGGGCGAGGAGAAACTATACTCATTAAAACTTGCCTGGCCTTTTGAACCGCTGCCCCTGACCAAACACGCTGGTTTGTCCCCACAAAAAAGACCAATCGGACTGGCGTCGCCTCCAGGGCAGCTGCCAGTGTTGAGGGATGGGGGGTCCTGACTCCCTGGGGCACACCACCAAACCTTCGCACTGAATTATGCACCTGTTTGAACTGGTGGCAAACTAATATCCCCCTAATTTCTCCCCAGTTTGTGCCGTGCGTGTTTGAAGTTTAATCCCCAGAGCTCCCGACGCAAGACTTTGATTGCGTCTTATAGCAAGCATGGCCAGGGCACTGCCACAGGTGATGCCTCATCATCATCTTCCGATGATACGATGTATGATGCCCGACCCATCCCCACTGATCAGGGCACCCAAGTTTGGCAAGATCATTTCGTCTAATGGCCCTCATACACGGGTAGAAATTCAGCAGTTATTGGTAAGCGCACCCGCCAAATGAAGGGAACAGATTCATCATACTTAGGGCCGCCATTAAACCGACAGCAGCTCTAAGACTGCAGGGCTCGTATTTTCATTATAAATGAAGGATTGATTTACGCAGTGGCCGGGTATCGACGTGATGACTCAAAGAATCGGACGATGTAATGGATATGTTGTTTAAAGGTTAACAACGTATGATCTGTGGGTCAGCCTCTGGGTTGCAGCGTTCTCTCGTCAATATTTGACCGTTTGAGCCAGAGAGGAAGGAACCATTAAAGGCCCCTCCTGGGCACAATTTGCAGGTGAACTTTCTGCTTGGTCCCTTAACGTTCTGACCAGACCATCACCTAACACTAATGGCTTCCGAAGAGAGCTCCTCTTTATTTTGTGTACAGAAATTACCTTTCCTCTTCGATGCCATAAATACATCAAAGGCAGCTTGGCGCAGAAGACGAATGAATGGGGGTGATAAGTTTGCACAGACGTATGTAGTTATCATAACAGCACCACTTTGACTGGAAGTTTGCCATCGGAAAAGGTCATGTACGGTTATCGTTTTTCCATCCGCACCATGGCAGAAAGTGTGAGAGGCCAGTTTGGCTGCTTTGTCAAATTTCTAGCTGCTTTGCGGTAAGTCAGAAACAGGCTGACAAGGAAAAACGTTGAACAGTAACCTTTTTTCCATGCTAATTTCTTACCCAACTGAATATTTTTCCTGTCAAAAACGTTTGCATACCCTGTAATTGGAAAAGCTGGCATGCTGGGCTCTACTGACATTCATATCTCAAATCTGAAATGCTGCATTAAAGGTCACTAACTACATTTGTAAAAGTAAACTGATATAACTGTTAACTAACAGTTTGCCTCCATTTGCAAATTCAGAACAACAAGTCATCAACATATCAGTTCTGATTGTACTGGTTGATGTGAAAGCCCATTCTCATTACATACTACATATAGTCTTTGCAGGGTATATTAGTTTCATAGTAGGATGGTTGTTATATATGTATAGCAATTGATGTCATATTGTACCCTGTATGATTGTTGTGCAATAAAGTTGATCATTATACAATGTAATCTTTGCAGGTTTGCAGAGAGCTACATGGACCTTGGTAGCTACTTGTCAGGTGTCCATATGACCTGCTAGTTTATGACACCTTAGCATAGTCATTGGCATGTGCGATGGTAACCTGAGACACGATACACTGTAACAAATCAAAACCCTGCACCTGTTTTCACATTCCTAATGACAATTCCCAAGGGACAAATAGGAAGGATTTCTACAAAATGGCAGAAGGTAGAATTGGTTTTATGGCTTCAAAAAAGACTTAGGTTGGCTGTCCATCAAAATAAACTGCTTTTATCAACTAATCTGTCTTGTAGCTATTTGTTGTTAGCTTCATCAGACATTGGTAGGTAAAAACAAACCTGTAGTTGTGCAAGAAGAAATTCCAGTCTCTGACATGCAAGTAGTTTTTTTAGTACACATGTGTCCTCATAGTGATTACAGACTACATATAATTCAACAAAAAATGTTCAAAAGGACAAAAACAACTACCTGTCTGACAGAAATATCCTCCCTTTGTCTGAGGAGTATTACCAAATAGCCTTTAGTCTGATTGCGGCCTTTGTCTAATTGAACATCACTAATATAATTACAATACCTTCCGTAGCCAGTATGGCCTGGTCTGTCTAAAAGGTTTGGGAATTGCAGACCAGAAATTGAGACGTAATACTGTTATTGGGCAGGTCTACCTAAAGGGAGGGGATAGAATTATTGACTACAAGCTGGTTTTACCTTGAAAGTTCATCTGTGTTGGTAGAAGTCATTCTGAATCAAGGTTGAACAGTGATTGCCAGTACAAAAATTGAACATACTAAAACATTTTCAACTGACCAACTACAGTCTTTTCAAGGTATTTGCAAGAGATGTAAAAGAAGCCAACTACATCAGTGCCTTACAATCAGAAGCACCATAAACTCTCAGTAACTTATGATCCACTGCTCACCGAATCATGTGCTCTACCTGCATAAGGTGACATCCCAGAAGTACTGGATTGCTCATTCCCTGACAGACTGGACTCAAGATCAGTCAAAAATTTGTCCATTTTTTTCTGTTAGAAATTACAGATCTATCTCAATCCAGAATGACTATTGCCAATACAGATAATTTTCAAGCTGATTTGACCTTGCTTTCCCTGCTTTTATATCCATGGCAAGCCTGTTAACATCTGCATTTCTCACAAGCAAATTGAACACCATTACTGTGTCACTTCTACGCTGGCCATACATTTTCTTTAAATTTGAAAGAAGCTACGTTATAGAGACTTTTGATAGTTGTGTATTATGAATCCCGTTTCAATGGATCCTGTGGAGAGTAGGGTCCAGTTCAGCACCAAGGAGAGGTGCCATGAGGTGACTCTAATTTATTTCCTAGGTCCAAGGATGTTTAAAGTAGCAACAAAGTAGGACAACAAGCTGAAAACTGACTGAGCTTGAAGGAAAAAAATCAATATGAATGCATTCACTCTCTGTAACTGCGAATGATACAGACCAGAGCCAAGAATAAATCTGGTGCAGCCTTTTATAACTGATAACTAAAAAGGACTGTTATAGCCATGTTAGATACAGAATCTGCCAGTGGCTGGTGCTACAGTAGATAGAGCCTTACTTGAATGATTGTTCCTGGAAACTAACCCCATTCCCATCCTCCCCCTGTCCTTGCCATCAAGGCTCTTTCAAGTAATTCTCCACATTTTCCAGAGGTTATTGATAATATGCTGTGTCTTTTACAATATGCAGAAGCTCACCTGAAGAAGGTGACTGCCCAGATGTTGCTGGAACACCTCGATGGCCACTGCTGATGGACTTCTTCTGGAAATCCCACCTGTGCAGAAGACATAACAACATTTCTTTTGACACTGCCGAATGAACAAAAGTGAAGAGCTAGGCAAACTAAATGACATCTATTGTACAAATACCCTGAACAAGAGCAGAGACTCATCACCAAAAACATGTCTGGTTTTGCTGTATAAGAATGAACAATTAAACGTTTGAAATGATTTATATGTAGAATGGTAGTTAAACTACAAAATTGAGGTATGAATGATAAAAAATGTTGAAACATTTATAGTTATGAAAACACTGTTTATTGTTTGTTTATTTATTTATTCTTTATTCACACAAAACATGGATAGTGAAGTAATGACAGTACAAAGGGATAGAAGAAGCTTGAAAAAACTAATTACAGGAACATGGATATAGCAAAATTCTAGAACAGATTCGGTGGATTGCAAAATAAGCATATACAATTTTTGTCAATAATAATGTAACAACAAATGGAAATTAGAAATGCATAACATCCAATCTGCCAGACTACATGAATATGGCTTTTTTTAAATATTGAAAAGCAAATTGACATATCTATCCTTCAGGTGCTGTTTTCATGGCACCTATTATGTGTTAACTTGTCAATACTGAGAAACATGATCTTTTAGTAATACACATGACAATGTATTGGACTCTGTAGCCAGGATCTTTTAGCAGGCTCAGGACAACCCTGGATGATGAAAGGAAAGGTCATCATGCTGGGTTCACATCTGTGTTGGGCCAGATCAATTCATTTTCCTGGTTCCCACATTTTGAAAATATAAAGATTACGCATGATTGGTAGGAATAGCCTGTGGACATTGCGGCACAGAAACCACCATTTTATGTTTGATGATATTATCTTAAAACATAACTTACAATTCTACACCAAAGGGTAGCTTGTTATAGGTAAGCCCTTCCCAGGAAAATGGTTCAGAACATATCCAGAATCAGAAAATTGTCCATTCGGGCCACCTTTCCATTTTGTCTACGAGCGATTTGAAAGCCAAGTTTGGCAGCAATTGATTTGGCCTTTGACATTGCCATGAAGCCATAAAACTGATGCCTTTCGATGTGCTAAGCCCTGGAGGAGTAAAACCCACCTAAATCTGCCAAAACTGTCTTGCCCTTTCAAGCACCCTATCAGGCAAACGGGGCAGGTTTCCTTGATGTTTCATGAGAAAGTGTAGAAGACATTTATGAGCACCTGCCAGCCCATTTCCAAAGCTTTGTGGCTTTGTCGCCGCTTACAAGCCATCGCCCAAGTTCAAAAGGAAACAAGCATTTAGGAAAACGAGGAAGCCATTGTGGAAACAAAATGGCCTTTCAGAGCCTTTGGGGAGTTGTTGCAGAAGTTCAAAGAAATGCCTGATGCTGACACATCTCTGCTCTAACAACAGCAGCCTGAGATGGAGGTAGTTCGACCGGGAATCCTTAGACGTAAGAGGTAAGTACACGAAAGTGCTCTCAGGCAGAAGAGCTACGGGAGACAGTTTTTGGGCATCCCTTGTCTACTTTTAATTCATTTTTTAAGATCATTATGGCCTGGATTTTGCCTCATGACTTGTTCTGATCTTTATCCATAAGTATCCATAAAAGTTACTGCTGGGTATCATGTTATGGCATCCATTGTCTGCTTACTAGCAAGCCATAGTCTGCAATATAGTGTCATAATAAGGATCTTAAAAAAATGTTATATTTTCTTTTCCTATTCCTATTCCTATTTTTTCTCTTTTTTTTGCCATTTTGCAAGTTTTACCTGTAAAATGTCTTTCCCAAGGGCACAACACAGGTTGACTACAAGACCACATTGTTAACTTAGGAGAGCCATTCTCTTCTTTCCTTAAGCTGTATGGCTTATCTTTTTTAAATACACCGTTAAGGCCTGGGATTTTGACCACCTCCATCCTCCCAATCTTCCTACATCTTCAGAAGTACAAGACTTAGTTGTAGAAAGGAAGATGGCTGGACCGTTGTTCCAACTGTGGATGAACCTGAGTATACACCTCTGCTGAGGAGGCTCCCATGTTTAATCCACAATGAGACACAAACCTTTCAAAATGTCAGGGAATGATTTAAGGCATCGCGGCCGGTCTTAGCGGTATCTCCGGGGATGTTGATATAATAAGCGGCCATCAGGGCCGCTGTTCCCAAGGATAATTTGTGCCCCGTGCCCCTACCTTCCTGCAGACAATTTATTTCTTCCAGGAAGCTGTAGTAATAAATTGTCTGTCTATGCTAATAGACTCGGGTGCATGGACATGCGCGCACCTGAACTCAATCCTCATAGACAGCGAAAGCTCACAAAATGGAGAACACGGAGGTCAATACATGTTTTTGTTGAGGCCAGTGTCTTTGGGATGCCTTAGAGGAAGGTCAGGTGGTGCAGGGATGAGAAACACTCACCTGTCTTTGGTTAATATTAAACCAGGTGAACCTAATTCTGCCCGCAGATACCTGAATCTCTTTCCCCCTTTCATGCTACATGTAGGTGAGTCTATTATTAGGTGTCAGGCATGGGAAATGATGATGTAAATCTGATTGTGGAAATGCAGCCGGGCCAAAGATGTGAAAGGTATGCCCCTCCCTGCACGTTCTCTTTTTATTGGAATGTTTGCAAGGGTTAAGGACAATTTCTAATGGCAATTTGAGCCACAGCTATGAATGATATTATCATATTTAGGCAATTTTATGTCAATTTTATTTGTTGGTTCTTACATCTAAAGAAATATTGGGAAATCAACATGAAAACAGAGTCTGAGGGTCTGTTACAGTAGATTTTTTGTACCTGGTACACACAGCTTTGAGGAGTGAATATAGTCAGATTCATGTTTTCCTCACAGCCCTCTGTTTTCACGTTAGCCTCTTGCAGAATTTGTGCTTTAAAATGTCAGAGGATTCATAAATTAGATTAGTGTGGCCTTGGGAATCATCATTACGTTAATAATTGTCTTATAATAATCCATAAATTTTCTGACCGGGAAGGAAGACTTGGGGAATGTCCCTGGAGAGTTTGTGGACAGAGAGAGAACCATGATTGTAAAGAAATCTATAACAGTATAGAATCTGATATTAATACTGTGCGCACTGTATTTCAACCCAAATTGCTAAAATAATTTATTTGCAAAATTGTGCCTGAAGGCTAATGTGAAAGGTATGCGAATAGGTAAAAATGTCTAGTCTATACACCTGATGTTTCTATGTACTGAGGGATTTGACTTGTTCCTGGAGGCAGTGGCTAATGAATAGTCCCCCGTTTCAATGATACTAAGTGGGTTCTGTAGATCCCTCTGAAA